CGCGATCCCCTGCTCTAGGTCCTTGACCACGCACCACTGCTTCATTCACTCCGCCTTGGGCTCTTCGACGATCTCGATCTGGCTTCCAGAGTCTTCTCCGCCGCGGTTGGCTTCTCGTCCCCGATGATCAGATCCCACGCCTCGGGCTGAGTCAAGTCCATCATCTCCACATCGGACTACTTGGGACACTACTCTGGCCATTCGAGTCATTTGTGCCCGCAGTCGACTCATCTCCTGCTTGTACACCATCAGCTTTTCATCGCCATTCTTCTGCACTTTCTCGACCATCTCCTTGTTGATTTCCGACTCCTTCTTGGTCATCGCGTCCTTGCTGCCGAGCGGTTGCCCTGACTTGACCATTTCCTTGATCTCCGATACCGACAGATCCAGTTTCCACCTGGAGTGACACATTCCGCACGCCACGTAGCTTTGATGTCGATTGCCTCCTCCACGAAGTGCTTGCGTGGGACGCAGACATTCGCTCTCCTTCTTGGCTGGCGACTCCTTGCTCTTCAGCTTCGTCAACTTCTCCGCGTTCTTGATGAGTATGGCGTATGCATCCAACAAGCCGGTGCCAATTGATCTGCGGTATCCCTCCACCTCGGGCAGCGATCCACTTGATAGCCATTCGGAGACCCATTCGACGTACTTGACCAGGTGTCGATGAATCGATCCATCAGCACTCGCCAGTTCCTCATCGCTTTCCGCGGATTGCGATAGTGAATGTTCTCCTCCTGCTCGTGGGCCTTCTTCTTGGCCGCTGGGACGAGGTCGATCTCCTGGATTCGGCCCACAAGGCTTAGCGGCATTGCTCGTGAGATCGCTTTGCGAATTGAAGTTCTGGGGGCGTCCCATAGACTGCATCTGTTGCCAGAGCACCAGTGCTGCGGCGGTTCGAAAATTCTTCTCGCAATACCCACCTTTGACTGCATCAGCTGGCATGACAAATCCACCGGCCCCAAAGTCTAACACATCCATGATGATATGACCACTCGCAATCTCTCCAAGCTTGACTGTCTTGCCAATACGTCTGAGTGTCAACTCCATGCTGTTCAAGTCAATGGCTGCACCCAACTGTCTAAGAAGCTTGATGGGGATGAGCAACGGAACTGGATCCTCAACAACAGTAGCCTCCAGAATTCCGGTCATTCCAGCGATCTCAAGGGGTATGGCAATGATCCCACACACTTTCGCTTTGCCACCAACGCCTTGAGCTCTGCCTTGTTTGCCAGTCCAGTGAGGCTTGAGTCCTCGTGTGGCCAACTCCGACGAAAGAGCCTTGAGGGCCCTCTTTCCAATCAGCCCATCTTGAGCTGCTGTATCTACAACTCCAAACTCCGGACTGGTGGCAAGACCACAGAAGCTGATATCTGCTTTATCTTGGACTTCCTCATCATCGACTTGATCTTGAAGTGCCACTGTCCGCAAAACCGGCACTACATCCTGGATTGCATCACTAGGTTCACTGCATGTTTCACCGCTATCAGCCTGCCCACGAGAGTCATCGACATGCAGCCCAATGTCGTGATTATGACTCAACCCAAAAACAACTGCTGATTGGCGCCTTCATCACCAGGTTTTCCCACGTTGCAAACCAGCTTCGACTCGAACCAGCGCCTCCTCCACTGACTGAAGAAGATGCCGTTGACGCAGCATTCATCTTGGCAATGTTCTCTTGCCCTCGGCGGTCGGGATGTGGAGACCTGCACTCTTTGGCCCAATGGCCAACTGCTCCACACCTCGCACATTTCGTCCTCAGCTTCAGCTGCTCGACATGAACTCGTTGATACCGACCACCTTTGCCACGTCCTTTTCCAGGAGCCCCGCGTCCTTTGCCTCCATGATGGTATTGTCGTCCTTTCTGTTGAGCATTCAGCGCATCACGAATGTCTCGATAAGTGGCAAGAGCCGCCATCACTTCTTCTTCCTCATAGACCTCCTTGAGATCCCCTTCCTCCAAGAAGATGTAATCCGCCTCGTCTTCGATCTCCTCCAGGCACTCCTCCGGGCCACCCATGAGTTCCTCAACCAGCTCAAAACCCGCAAAAGCGTCGTTACCGCTTTTCACCTTCACGCGGTCGTCCTTTAGCACCTTGTCCAACTTCCGCAGAGCCAGCACCACCTTGGCCAAGGCAAAGTTATTCTCAGTCCATGTGGTGACCTTCAAGTCCTGATTTTCCGTGAGGGAGGCCTGTCTGTAGTAGATGTAGCCGATCGCCACCTCCGGCAGTTTAATGCCTTCCTTGACCAGCTGCGCATGTGCCTTGTCCATCCGGATGATGTACTCCTGGAAGTATCCATAGATAGCCATCTCCATCCCTCTGGCCACGCTAGCCTCCAGATGCGGCTTGTAGTGCTCCTTGAGCGCGCCCATCACCTTCTTGATCCCGCTCTCATTCATGAGCTCCTCCAGTGGAATTGCACCCACGACCGCTCGGGCATTGCCCGTCAATCCCCGAATGAGGCGAGCTCCTCGTTTCTTCACGTCCAGCTGAACTCCCAGAGCACCACATCGCGCTCATACCTCTGGAACTCCGTCTGAGGGTTCCTGCCATCCCAGCTCGGTGGAGCGTCCTTGCCGAAGACGGACTTCGTCTCCCCTGGTTCGCCCTCAGCCATGGCGCCAAGCAAACCGAGGGCTCCGCTACCACTGACTAACCAGTGGCAGGTGTGCCCTTTTCTCGGCCACTATGCGGGGCTCCCGCTCCGCATGAGTCTGAGCCCTGATGCGACAGGGGCGGTGAACCTGAGCTTAAACAAAGGGAGGATCGAGACTACGGGTTTTGGAGAAAACGACGAGCTTAAAAATTCTTAACAGAGCTCCACTTAGGCCCTAACGCTAACCATCGCCGCGACGGAGGGCGAGTGAGAACAAGACACATTATTTAGCAACGCGCCCCACCCCCCCACGATCAATCCCACGCTACGACATCAAACAGGAAACCCGTGTCGCAGCCAAAAGATCCCCTCGGGATAAGCAGCGGTATTGGCGACGCCAACTACGCAGCCCTTCGCTTCGCCAGCGGCTCGTCAGCTTTTTCGCCTTACGCCAGCGCTTTTAAGCAAGCGGCCGCGGGCAGTTGGCTGATCGGAACGCACCGTGACGGTTTGCCCTGGCAAACCGGACGGTATGATATCCACTTGGTGTTGAGGAGTTTGCAAGTTGAGAAAGTTGACAACCGCGCGTGCTGACAAGCATCCGGAATATTATAGGTGGAGTGGAAAGCCTTTTCTTCTGCAAGGAACTGCTGATTTCCACACAAATCAACACCCCGGAACTTCGAAAACCTGTACATTGTTGTACCTTTACAAAAACAACGTGTGTTGCCTAGGGTATACTGAAAACATCGTGTCTTCTAAAAAACATCGTGTCTTTGAAGACACCCTCCAAATTGACTTCGTTCCATTGCTTGCGCCAGAACTGGCACCTAGTGACTTCCCCCTAGAGTGGAGGCATTTGCTTGCAAGCCCAATCTGAAATTCAAATTGTTTGCTGCCAGAGGATGGGAAAGCTTGGCGTTCGAACATGGTATAGGGCTCCTATGCGCCCCAGTCAGGGAGGTTCCTGTAGCAAACCTGTGGAAAAGGCTTGCAAACCCGTATCCCTAGACTTCCAAAGGACATTAAATAAATGGCCGAGGTGGCAAAGTACATTTTCTGGGAAAAGGCATTTTTGCTTAAATTTGGTTGGATCATGATTTTCACGAAAATCGCACTTAAAAGTAGCTGGAGGGGGCTGCACAGTTCCATTTTGCCGAGCTTGAGAGTGCTTCGTGCGCTTCGCACTGCCTTCTGCAGAAACTTGCCAACGTCAGCCACGGGGCACGGCTCGGGAACTGATTATTTGATTTCTGCATATACTGGTCCAGCATACATCCATCGATCCATGCATGCATATTGGCAATTGCCAAGCCAGAAAAGAGCTACAAAGTCCTGTGAAGTGACGTGCCGCGAATTAACACCAAAATGGTGCAAAAACGGGATGTGCAGAAAATGTCTTTTCTACGGCAATAAATTGTCGTTCTACGGCAGAAAATGTACTTTCAAAGGCAGAAAATGTACTGTCTACGGGTTGTCTACGGTTTGTCTAAGCTCAACAAATCTCGGCTTTACGACTCGACCTGATGTGAATATCCTGATTTTGCAATGTGTTTCCCCTTCTGCGGAATCAAGTAGTTACGCGCAGCTCCAACCTCAGACATCGTGTTTCATCAAAACATCGCGTTTCAGGAAAACATCGTGTTTAGCAACCCGTAGACAAGCCGTGGAAAACCCGTGGCAAATCGTGGAATTTCTATTTATGGATTGTCCAGGGCGCGCATCTTGCCCGCGATGAGGTTGTGTTTGCCCATTCCATTGTGGCAATGACTGGTCCACTGGTTTGAACCGAAGCTGGTCGGGGCAAAACTGCCTTTGCCGATTGGGGGATGTTCAAAAGGGATTGTTGCTGGCTACATTCGAACACGGAACAATCGACCAAACGGGCGAGGGCCACCGTCAATGCGCATGTACACATGGCCTGTTGAAGTAGAGTTGCAGTTTGCAGCTACATGTTGATGTGCTCGAATATAAAAACATCATGTTTCCCAAGAAACACCGTCATTTTCTTGGGTATGACATGTTCATCAGCTTTTCAGGCTCCTGGTACACATGCAATTTTCTCGGCATTCATCTTGCACCTGGCCTGAATCCTCCACTATCGGGCAGGACCCCTAGGTGGTCGAGACTTACTTTTGGGACCTTGTCAATATACTCGGCATCGGGCATTGGCCTCACTGGTCTTTGAGCCCTTTCCAAAGATCCCACAGGCAAAACCCTTGATATGAGCCGGTTCAACTACATTGCTCGTGGGTATGGACAGAATTATGCCACGTCCCCTTGGTGCCGGTGAAACGCATCCTTCGACAACCCCGAATCCAACATAGACAGTGAAATTCAAGCGAATGTCATAGGAAGATCTGGCACCTCTTGGCCTTCACTCTGGCTGCATGCCAGGCTGCATCCAGCTTGGAGGAGTCCGGAAACACCGAGGTGAACAACTCCTCCGCCTCGCAGCGCGCTGGTGTCGGTGTCCAGCAAAAATCAACCCCATCACTTTTGTGTGTGTCGTGGAGCTGTTGCTACCGAACCAGCCGAGAGGAGTCTGTGACGTTGGCTGGGAGTCGGCATTGTCGGCTGCAGGCTGGGCCGCCGCATTTGATTGCTTGCTAGTTTTAGGTTGCGTATTTCGTACTGGATTTGTCTGCTACTGAGCAACCATCTCTTATGCAATTCAGAACCAAGCGTCGCAAATAATACAAATGCCATTTCACTATTGATTTGGTGATGAAACAAAGGCCAGGCTCCCGAGCCAAATGACCCATGTGTTGCTCACTCTCTCACAGACCGCCCAGGCTTTCCCAGCCTGACGTGTTCTCTCCAACTCCCGGACACAGTCACAGTCCATGGCTCCAGAATGCCATAGGGCTCACCCAGGACTCAGCCCTGGTTGCTCATGCGGGATGGCTAATTGCAAACAGATCGGAATCGAGGCGTCACGGATGATTGTTCAATCACGTTTGCCTGGAAAATATTGTATAGACGTATATCTTATGTATGTTATAGACCTGGGTATGTGAAGACATGTTTTCTTCTTTATTCACTTTGCGCTTTTGGCGCACGAACGTTTGTTTTCTCCAGCCACAAAGCCGGAATACCCCGAAATGACGAAAACAACTTGTCATGTCGCATGCAGGAATACAATTCACTAAGACCGAATCTGTAATGACATGTTTTCTGGATAAGGCCGTGTGATCAAAAATGCAGATGCTTGAATTGTGCAGGTACATATATATATATATATTGCCCCTTTCGGCATCACCTTCAAGGGGCTTGGCCTTTCTGAGAGCCGATACAAAAAAAACATTCTAGGATCCTTCTGTGCACGAAATTGGGTCCAACAGCTTTTAAGGCAAGGCAACATTCATACAATTATTTGGGGTGCCCCCCCCGAGGGGTGCCCCCCTCTCAGCCCCAGAGCCAGGGGTTTTGCGTTTACCGCTCTCTCTTTGAAAAACATGCTGCTTGCGAGAAAACCTGTAGTCAAACGGGAAGCACTTAGCTTGATTTTCAATTTGCCCGGCCTAAACGACAGGAAACGCATGTCACTGGGGGCCCCAACCCAGCCTCACTGGACTTTTCATGTTTCCAAAAGCGAAGAATCAAGCGCGCGGGCACCAAAACCATTTCTACACGATTCAAGAAGGTTCCATTTACTGTTTTGAGTGAAAACTGCGCACCCTCCCCGTGTACACGGGGGGGTGCCCCCCCCCCCCTGTTAGCTTGCTAATAGCAAGCTAATAGCAAGCTAATAGCAAGCTAATAGCAAGCTAATAGCAAGCTAATAGCAAGCTAATAGCAAGCTAATAGCAAGCTAATAGCAAGCTAATAGCAAGCTAATAGCTAGCTGCCTAATAGCGCCAACTGGGTGGCTTGTCAATGCGCCGGCTGAAGGCTCACCCCTCAGCCTCCTGTGGCCCACCCGCGCCACCAAAGATCCCTCATTTTCAGGAGGCAATGCTCGTTTATAATTGAAATAGAAGGCCAAAGGCCAAACACACAAGTTAGTTTGGGGGCGGAAGAGCAGCGTGGTATATGTTTTCGAACATGCATACCTTCAGACTTTTCCAACTCCGCTTTGCTGCATGGCTGTGTTACACAGTATACAGGGCCAAAACCGTGTGGGCCAATTTTGCGGTGCGAACGTGCTAACAGAATCAAATAACAAATAGCTTGCTATTAGCGTGTTATTAGTAGTACTTCCACTCCGCGCTAATAGTTTGCTATTAGCAAGCAAATAGCCCGCAAATAGAAGCTTGTTGGTGTGCCTGTGAAACGCAAAGGAGGGGGGCACCCTTGGAGGGGGGCACCCCAAAAAATTGTATGAAACATGATGATCCTCGTCATGACATCTAATTATTCGGGCAAGATTTAGCATATCCCAGTCCAAGCAACCTGTTGCGATGCAAAGCTCAGGCTGCGTCATTCAATTGAATCCCAGCACATGCCCCCAAGAGCGTCAGGCCTGGGAAGTTGCAGCAGGTGAGTGCATGCGCAGCATGCGCAGGCCAGCACGACGGATTCTGCCAGCCCTTGCAGCTGTCCCAATGTCAAGCTTGCCGCGAAGTTCTTGCAGCAGCCAAGCTGGTTGTGTCTAATGGCTCCGTAACTCCGTGACACTTTGTCATTTGGAGGTACTGATAAACTTTCTGCATTGCACACATTGATAAATCGGGCCGCGGCTCATCAGGCCCCCTTGAATCTTGTCAAGCAAGGATCGCTCAAACTTAATCACTCAAGAATCCGAGACTTCTTCGACCCATGCCGAGCTGGCTATGGAGGATTCGCGCGCAGAGTATGATGTGAGATCATGCCCCAGCGACAATAGCGGATCCTGACTGGAATCTGAAAGGAAACAGCATCTCCGCGCATCCAATCTCAGCAAGGACTACAAGCAGCTCTCATACTCCAGCCGAGTTGGAGGCAAGAAAACATCTGGTGAGGACCTTCGCAGGCGCTTGCGACATCTCCGAGTCATCTCCGCAAAATCAACGCAGGCTCTCAGTTTTCTCATGGAACCGCCCTAGCCTAGGTCTTGCAATGTAAGCTCTTCCACGAACGTTGTGAATGGCGGGCAGGCCAGGGAAACATGCAGATCAAAGTGAGTGTGGCGTTGCAACACCTCGGCGAAAGCAAAGTGACGCTTCTTCGTCTGGTTGTGTTTCTTGTCTGAGAGCCCTGGGCTCTGTGCTTCGCTCTGGGATGAGTTTCCGCCTTCAGAACTGCTTCGCAAATCGAAAGGCTCCACCAAGCTGACGGATCAAACTTGCGCAACTGGAATTACCAAGGTCTGGGCACGCTGAAGGAGTGTGAGCGCATGCACAGGCCAGCGCACGGTTCGTGCCGCCCGCTGCAGCAGTCGGACGATGAAGCTTGCCACAATGTTCTGGGCACAGCTAAACTGGTTGTGTCCAACATGCTTTGCTCAAGTCCAGGCAACATGATTCTTCCCATGAAGCGATCTGTTGCTGCTCCTGGGAAACAACACAAACCCGATTTGCTCTCAGATGAGTCTCAACCTTGATAGCTGCTTGACCGGTCGACACGCTCCACAAAGCTGATGCATCAAACTCGCGCAGCCAGAATTACAAAGATTTGGGAAGACTCAAAGGGTGTGAGTGCATGCGCGGGCCAGCAGTCCTGTCTCAGCCAAGCACTGCAGCAGTCCGAAGGTCAAGCTTGCCACGAAGCTCTTGGTAGAGCCACGCTGGTTGTGTCCAACGGCTCCATGCTTTGCTCAAGTCAATGCAACGCGATGCTGCAGAATGCCATCTAACACTCCTCCTGCGAGCCCCAACGTATCCCATTTCAACCAATACAGTAAGTGGCAAGCTGCCTTGATGCGAAGCTAGCCAATCGCACGCATCCCAGAACAGAAAGGGCTGGAAAGTTGCGGCGCTGTCAGTGCTGCAAGGCAAGCGTCCAACTCGAAAGGTGTGAGTGCTGTGGAGCACTTCTCTTTGCTTCTGCGCAGGTTCTTTACTTGTGTTTGAAGGGAAGCTCTGCGGGCTCTACCAAATGCGTCGAAGCGAGGCAGTCATGTTTCAGCCAGTCAAGCTGCAGGGATCCTTACATTATATGCCTGAACATTGCCTTGTCAATGGTGTCCTTCTTCTTGGTGGAAAAAGCCATGTTTCAAATGGTTGCAAAATGGAGATCTTAGGAGCCCTGTGCAACTGGCAAAGCTCCGGGAGCCGAAGGGCTGTGCTTACGGCTGCCCACCATCCGAGTCCAAACGATACACAAGCACCATCCTTGCACCAGGACAGCCTGTGCCGAATTGGCCCCCAAAGGGCACTGTGTGTCTGGGAAGAGTTGTAGGGGCACCATCCTCTGGGCGCGCCGCCAAAAGTTCGCAGAACCCAAGAGAGCATGCCATCCCGGTTCCAGACCCGCCTCGGCAGAAACAAGTTCGCGGAACCTGGTGGCGGGGACCACAGTGAGCTGTCTTGTTATTCTTCCCGCAAGTCATTGACTCAAAGAAATTGCCGCAACCTGCATTGCACGTGTTTTGCGAAAGTCCTTTCTCAGGCGGAGCCATCAGGCCCTGCGGCCCTGGTGAGCCAATTGGGTCCCATTACTGTTGGGTTTGACTGGGCCCCACAGGGCCCCACAGAGCCCTATTTTGACCCTATTGGGCCCTGGGGTGCTGGTTCCCCCCCACGAGAACCTGAGTGGGCGCGCATATTTTTCTGGTTTGTTCAAGTTTTTGCGAGGGAGAATAAGCCTGACAAGAGACAGGGGAATAGGATGTAAGCAGGCTCGGCGGCGGGCTACAAAGCAGCAACCGGCCACACAAGAGGATGGAAATGCCTTGTGGCTTGCACATTCCCCCCCTAAGCAAAGGCAAAGTGTCAGCTCTAGCTGTTTTGGCGGGTCCCCTCTTGGTGGCCATCCGTTTTGGCTCATGAGTAAGGGCTGGGGAAGTGGCGGCACTTCTTCGTCTCGTTGTGTTTGTCTGAGAGCCCAGTCTGCGCTTCGCTCTGAGATAAGTTTCAGCCTTGAGAACTGCTTCGCATTCAAATCGAAAGGCTCCACACAGCTGATATATCGAACTCGTGCAGCCGGAATTACAAAGGCCTGGGCACCCTCAAAGGGTGTAAGTGCATCAGCAAGCCAGCGCACGATTTCTGCCGCCCGGGGCAGCAGTCCCAAGATGGAGCTTGCCACAACGTTCTGGGCACAGCTAAGCTGGTTGGGTCCAACATGCTTTGCTCAAGTCCAGGCAACATAATGCTTCCCATAAAGCGATCTGTTGCTGCTCCTGGCAAACAACACAAACCCAAGTCGCTCTGAGACGAGTCTCAACCTTGATAGCTGCTTGACCGGTCGACACGCTCCACTAAGCTGATGTATCAAACTCGCGCAGCCGAAATTGCAAAGATCTGGGAACGCTCAAAGGGTGTGGGTGCATGCGCAGCATGCGCAGGCCAGCTGTACTGGCTCAGGCAAGCACTGCCGCAGTCTCAAGCTGAAGCTTCCCACGATTTGTTTGGTATTCTTGGTAGAGCCACACTGGTTGCGTCCAACAACTCCATGCTTTGCTCAAGCTACGGACGGCAACACAATGCTCCAGGATGCCATCTAAAACTCCTCCTGCGAGCCCCAACGTATCTCAGTTCAAGCAACATCGTGCAAGCTACCTTACTGCAAAGCCTGTCACTGAACAAAATACTAGACCGGGACTGTATCACAAAACTGAATCACAATGCATCCCAGTCTTGAAAGAGAAAGGGCTGGAAAGCTGCGGCGCTGCCAGTGCTGCAAGGGAAGCGCCCAACTCGAAAGCTGTAAGAACATGTGCAGGTCAGCAGTACTGGTTCTGCCAGCCACAGCAGCAGTCTGAAG